AGGCTTCATGACACCACAGCCGTGTATCCCTAAGACTTTCTTGGACTAACGACATCATCAAACATAAATACAGTGCCCCTAACACACATAAAATTAATAATTCCCTACTGTCATATAATTTATGCTCCATATTATTATTATTATTATTATTTTTTTTTTGAGACAGAGTCTCACTTTGTTGCCCAGGCTAGAGTGAGTGCCGTGGCGTCAGCCTGGCTCACAGCAACCTCAATCTTCGGGGCTCAGCGATCCTACTGCCTCAGCCTCCCGAGTAGCTGGGACTACAGGCATGCGCCACCATGCCCAGCTAATTTTTGTATATATATTTTTAGTTGGTCAATTAATTTATTTCTATTTTTGCTAGAGACAGGGTCTCGCTCAGGCTGGTTTCGAACTCCTGACCTTGAGCAATCCGCCCGCCTTGGCCTCCCAAAGTGCTAGGATTACAGGCGTGAGCCACCACGCCCAGCTATGCTCCATATTATTAAAATCTCCCCTGAGACCTAACAAATGGAACTTGGTGTCAGAAATAAAAGAAAAATAAGAAAATATAGTAAAAATATTTTTTAAAAATCTCCCCAAATATCTTTTATAGCTATTTATCTTTAAATTAGAATCTAGTAAAGTTTTCAGCACTACTTTTGGTCTGTTTATTTTATTTTGTTATTTTGATTGTCTTTGAGAGAGAGTCTTACTCAGTCACAGTTTTTCTGAAATCTAGAATAGCCATCTTCCTTTTTTTATTGTGATAATATACATATATATACAACACAAAAAATGCACTTCAAGCATTTTATTTATTTATTTTTTTAAACTCATTAATTAAATTAATTAAAATTCATTAAGACAAAGTGATTGATTCTTTTTTTTTTTTTTTGAGACAGAGTCTCACTTTGTTGCCCAGTCTAGAGTGAGTGCCATGGCGGCAGCCTAGCTCACAGCAACCTCAAACTCCTGGGCTCAAGCAATCCTTCTGCCTCAGCCTCCCGAGTAGCTGGGACTAAAGGCATGTGCCACCATGCCCGGCTAATTTTTTTTTTCTATATATATTTTAGTTGGCCAATTAATTTCTTTGTATTTATAGTAGAGACGGGGTCTGGCTCTTGCTCAGACTGGTTTCAAACTCCTGACCTCGAGCAATCTGCCTGCCTTGGCCTCCCAGAGTGCTAGGATTACAGGCGTGAGCCACCGCGCCCGGCCTTGATTCTTGATATAAAGCATTAAAACTTGGATAAGGGTTAAGATATTTTTAAGAAAAGAGAACAGTACATTGGTACTTTGAGATAAGAGTCTGCCAACCTCCTCATTTGCCAGCAAATTAGTAAACTCCTCTTTTCTTCTCCTCAAACCACTTGTCCTTGATCTTCTGATGCAGCCTTGGGAAACAGTGCCAAACTTTCAGTAACAGAATTTGGCATCCCTGGGTAGGCCCTCAACACCCCAGTGGAATGGCACTCTGCCATTGCTGAAGGAAGCAGGGAGCAGCCCAGGGACAAACAGTGGGTCTTCACTGTAAGAAGCAGCTTCTTTTTGAGGTGAGAGAATATGGGATAGTCCCAGCAGCTGCCAGAGCATGTTATACCTTCGGTTAATACCCATCCTCCTTCTCTCTGAATTAGACCAGCTCCTCACAACCTGCACTGAGTTGAGGAGAAGGAAACAGATTTGGGGAAGCATCATGACACAGACACAGCCATTTGTAAGTAAAGATCCCAAGGACACTGAGACTGTGTTTCCACCCATATTTGGGTGAGGGAGGGAGGGTTCAGATCTCCCTGTTGGATTTGTTTAGAGGTGCTGATTAGGGGTTGGAAGTCAAGAGATTGAGTGGAACTCCAACCTTTTTAAAGTATAAACTCAGTGGCATTAATTACATTCACACAGTTTGCAACCATCAAACCATTGTCTGTTTCCAAAACATTTTCATCTTCCCAAACTAACTCTGTAACCATTAAGCAGTAACTCCCTGTTTCCCCTTGCCCAGCCCCTAGTAACCTCTCATCTGCTTTCTATGTCTAGGGATTTGCCTCTCTAGATATTTCATATAAGTGGGATGATACATTATTTGTCCTTTGATATCGGGCTTCTTTCACTTGGCATAATGTTACAGGGCTCATCGACAATGTGGCAGGCATCAGTATTACAATCCTTTCTACATGAATGAATGATATTCCTTTGTGAAAATCTACCACGTTTTGTCTATTCATCTGTAATGGATACTTGGGCTGTTTTATACATTTTGGTGATTGAGAATAATGTTGTGATGAACATTGTTCTATAAATATCCGTTTGAATGTCTGTTTTCAATTTTGAGTAGCAACCTAGGAATGGAATTGCTGGGTTGTATGGTAATTGTACATTTAGCTTTTTGAGGAGCTACCAAACTGTTTTGCTGCATCATTTTACATCCCCCCCAGCAACATACAGAGTTCCGATTTATCCACATCCTCACCAGCATTTATTTTTCTGTTTTGTTTTTTTTTAAATTATTATAGTCAAATATATGGAAGAGGAGGGGAGCCCATGTCCTCCTGAATTTAGTCCTGGTGATAATGTGTTACTAGATTCTCTCATGGAGTTGAATCAGTTCATGGCCTGAGAGGACCTGAATATCCCATTCTTCCATCTAGAATGGTTGGTTCAGGTTTGGATACATGACTCACCAAGGGTTGATCACAACCATACCCAGAGATAATAAATAAACATCGGTAAGGAGAAATTTTACATGCCCTGTGATCACTAGTCTGAGATGATGTGAGCTTGGAGTTCCTGATGGACATCTTGCTGTCACATGAAGAGGGACGGTCTACAGAATGAAGTTGAGAAATAAGATGGAGAAATCCAGGATCTTGATGCTATTATTTCGGTCCCTGAATTTAGTCCTTCCTGAAACACATGAGCTTTGCAAGAAGACACTTTGCACTTTGCAATTACATCAACCAATAAATTCCATTTCGCCTTGGGTGGATATGAGTTGGTTTTCATTGTAAACAACGTCTTTACTAATTTATTACCTATTCTCCCCCTCATCCCCAGATCTTTCATAATTAGCATTGTGTGTTGGTTTTTTTTTTGTTGTTGTTGTTGTTTGTTTGGTTGTTTTGTTTTTATTTGACTATCTTTGGAGATAGAATGGGCAGAACTTGATGTCTCATAGCATGTATGGAAACATGAAGGCTCATTATAACCCTGGGGTTTTGGTCTTGAGTTTCTGGGAGCAAGTGAATGTTATTTCTTAAGACACAATAGTCATTTCTTGGTAAAATATCTAGAAAAAATTAAAGGAAAATAATAAAAAAAAAGAAAAAAAAGGCACAATAGTCAGAATGAGAAGCATAGTTCATAAATAACTGAAAATGGAAGATTGGTTAGATGGACTCTCTAGTTTCAAGAGGGCATTGTTTTCAGGGATTGAACTGCCACATCTGACCCAGGGGTCATGATTTTTGCAAGTAACTCTTTAATTTTAGCAGCCCAGGAAAGTAAACTTTCCATGAGATCAAATGCTTTATAGGCACCTTAAAGCCAGATCTTGCCTTCAGGATAAGTATGGGAAATTCTAGAAGAGTGATACATATTGGACTTAGGAATTCTGTTTCCTCACTGGAGTCCATGTTCTACCAATTTATAAATGGACTCAGCAATGGTTTCTATTATATTTCTGTCTCATTCACCCAAAAATCAAAATATGGAAGAAAAGAATTGTCATCTGGCCCCTTGTAAAAATAACTAATGACATGTGAAGATAAGGATATGACAGTATTTGCAAATGACATTTATCCAGAGTACAGATGATTGAGCAGAGAGTGAGGGATGTCAACATAATTTAATATCTTTGGCCTCACCTAGTGGACATAGTCCCAGCTCAGTGCATTGATGAGGCTAGGAGACATGAGGTGTTTGACATAAATGACCTCATTTAATCACCATCTCCACAACTTGACAAAGTGAATATTATTTCTCCACTCTATAGGTGATGAAATTTTGTGATTCAGCAAAGCTTGGTAGATTTCCAGGGTCATACAACTGGTAATGTTGGCTCTGGGAATTGAGACAGATCCGTGAAAACCCAAAGGTGATTATCTTAATTCCTACATGGCATCATTCATATTTCCCAACAAGGACACCACCCCAGCTTGGGTGGGGGATGAAATACAGCATCATAAGTTTTCTCTAACTAAAGGATTGTTGCCAGCTGTCACCCCCATGATTGTATCTTTGTCAAAGTTGCCAAGTACCGATGCAAGAATTACATGTTGTGGATGACAGGTCTTTATTATCCGAGCTGGACCCAAAGAGGGCAAGGAAGAAATGGGACAATTACTCTCTGCTTGTCTCCAATAAGGCTCTGGGGGAATATAGCCCTAGTGTCCATGGAGGCTGCAGTATAAAGCTTGCCCTGTGATTCTTCTATACATTCTTCCTGCACCGAGCACTAAGTCTATGCATTTGAGCTCCTCATTCATGCAGACTTAGCCTGGAAACCCCAGTGATCAGTCCGTCTCCCTCAACCAGTAACCCCTGGCCATGTGTGAAAAGGTGAAGCAAGATGACAGCGAGGACTGCCATTCTTTGGGGGTAAGAGTCAGATCAGTGGATCAATAAATGGCTGTCATGGGGACCACAAAGGGACACTCCTCCCTTTCTTTAAGTAGAGTCATAGAAACCATCCTGAGATCCTCAGCAGTTCCTCACAATCACCCAGTAATGACCAGTGCATGTCTTGTCTGTTTATGAACTCTAGGACTGTGGGGAACACAAATTGGGTGAGTTTCTGCCCATACCTCTGGGTCATTTCAGCTTTAATTATAAACTGGACTCAGGGGGCTGTGCCAAGAAAGCTGGCTCTCACCTTTGTAATGTGTTCTGTAAACATGACTCCAGAAAGGAGCAGCAGCAACAATTTTATAAGCACTACCTGAGAGAAAAATTCCCCATCATTTCTCAAGTGTTTGCATTTATCCTTCTTTGTCCGCCTCTGGGCCCAGGATCCCAGGCTGATGAGAGGCACAAACCAGTCGAGTGTCTCCGAGTTTGTCCTCCTGGGATTCTCCACTCAGCCCCAGCAGCAGCGGGTCCTCTTCCTTCTCTTCCTGAGCATGTACCTGGCCACGGTCCTGGGAAACCTGCTGCTCATCCTGGCTGTCAGCACTGACTCCCGCCTGCACACCCCCATGTACTTCTTCCTCGGCAACCTGTCCTTCGTGGACGTCTGCTTCTCCTCCACCACCACCCCCAAGATGCTGGCCAATCATGTGCTTGGGATCCAGACCATCTCCTTCTCTGGATGCCTCACTCAGATGTATTTTCTCTTTGTGTTTGCTGACATGGACAATTTCCTCCTGGCTGTGATGGCCTATGACCGCTTTGTGGCCGTGTGCCACCCCTTACATTACACCATAAAGATGACCCGTCAGCTCTGTGCCCAGCTGGTCGTTGGGTCGTGGGGCGTGGCCAGCCTAAATGCTCTGTTGCACACCCTGCTGATGGCTCGACTGTTATTCTGTGCAGACAACGCCATCCCCAACTTCTTCTGTGATGTGACTCCTCTCCTGAAACTCTCTTGCTCGGACACACATCTCAATGAGATGATGATTCTTATTGCAGCAGGGCCTATAATGATCACTCCTTTTATTTGCATCTTGGTGTCATATGTCCTTATTGGTTGTGCTGTCTTGAGAGTCCCATCTACAAAAGGAATATGGAAAGCCTTCTCCACCTGTGGCTCCCACCTTGCTGTTGTGTTCCTCTTCTATGGCACCATCATTGCTGTGTATTTAAACCCTTTGTCCTCTCACTCAGCTGAGAAAGACACTGTAGCTACCATGTTGTATACAGTGGTGACGCCCATGCTAAACCCTTTCATCTACAGTCTGAGGAACAGGGATTTGAAAAGGGCTCTGGGAAAGGTGATTGGCAGGAAGACATGCTCTTACTTGTGTTAAGTGCTGTGGACCCAGCACATCATTCCCAGGCATAGAAACTTTGCCAACTCGTTGAAATATTGCAATCTAATGATTAATATGTCTTTGAGGAACTTAGAGTAAATATGCTCAGTAGATCCTTAGCAGAGAAGTCTGACTTAACAACAACCCTGCCCTCTTAAGTATGTAATGGTATTTGTTTTTAATTATTCTATTTTAAATTCTTTTACACACAAGTCAAAATTTTCCTTTCTAAGTGATCTCTTTGAAAGGCTACATGTTACAAATATTTTGGCACTAATTTTTGTAAAAGCTCTTAGAATCTAAAACAGTGGTTTTCAGTCCAGGCTGCATGTTAACATAACCTGAGGCACTTTGAAAACACATACAGCAGGTCTCCAGCAATGTTTTTAGTACAATGTTATTTCATTATGGCAGTGATGAGAAAAAAGATCGATTCCTGCCTTGGAGTACTGTGTGGTGTTCACATGTTCTTCCCACATCTGCAGGGGCTATCTCTGGGTAGTCTGGTTTCCTGCCACATCCCAAAGATGTACATGTGAGTTGAGCTGGTGTGTCTACATTGTCCCAGTAGGAGTGAGTGTGGCCTGTGATGGAAGGATGTCCTGTCTGGGGTGCTTCCTGCCTTGCACTCTGGGCTGTTGGATAGGCTCTGGCCATCCATGACCCTGAGCTGGAATAGGGTAAATAGTTATCTTACCTGTTTTCATTAATCTTTCTTATACGTATGTATAGCTCACATGTATTTCAATGTTTCATATTGCAATTGTTTTGGTGTTTACTAAAAGTTTGGTGGTGATTTTGTGACCAAAAATGTGCTGTGGAAACAAGTCTCGTCTGTGTCAGCTAGCCTATCGTAAAGTTGGTTCCGTTGTATGTCATTTTGCTTATGGTCACAGCTTCCAAGAACCTGTGTACAGATGCTGCGCCAAACCTCAACCAGTTAGATCAGAATCTCTGGGGGTGCCCCGGGCAGTGGTACTTTTCTCCTTTAAGTTCCCCAAGGGGTCCTGTGCATCTTCTGAGCTGACAGTCACACTGCACTGGCTGTTTTGTGATTGCTCATCACAAAGAGGGAGCCTATAGCCTTTTGAGGAAATCTGATATCTAATGTGGGCAAAACCAGGATGGGGGAAAGGAACTCACCGGAAGTTCTTTGTGTGCCAAAGTGCTGTGCTGAGAAGGTTGGACCTTTGGCCATAATCCACACTCCTGGTCCTCACAGAGAATCCTAAGAACAATTCATAACTTTCAGTGTCATTATCCATCTTGACTGCCTCACCTTACAGAGGCATATTTGACATAAAGTATGCCTTGATTTTGAAGCAACATTTTCACATTTGCGATTCTGTCTCACCAGGATGCCTCTCTGTCTTCTCCCTGAGTAGCAATGTCTCCCTGAACCTTCCAGACCCAAGTCTCCAGCTCTGTGAAGCCTTTGCTGATTCCTCCCGGCTGAGACTGTTATCCCCTCTCCTGGATTCCCCCCAAAAGCTACTCTTTGAGTACTGGACATGTATGGCTGCCTAGTCTGTTCTTTGTTTGCTGTTGTCCTGACTCTGGCTTCATTCTCAAGACCCTACAGGTTGAGGTGTCAGGACTCAGGCTTACCCTGTTCACCTTGAAAGCCCCACACAAAACTCAGCTTCTGACACAAATTACACATGCAACCCACCTTTACTGAATAAGTGAAGGAATGAACATCGTCTTAACTTTCAACTTGACATCCTTAATTGGGCAAGAGGCTTAACAATTATATTCTGGGAATCATAATACCATATTTACATACTGCAAGAGATTTCAAAATATATGAGAAAATTATTCTGTAAAAGCACTATTAGAAACATATGAAAATAATGTTTACCAAAGTTGGCCTCCGTTTATATCTACTATTTTGTGTCCTCATTTTTCCACTTATCATTTCCCATGTCATCAAATACCTTAGATATATGATGTTTATGGTTATATGATAGTTCATGATATGGATGTATTCTCATTTATTTGACTAATCCCCAGATTTGAGCAGATTGAAATACATTGCAGGAGATATCAGGCTCACACAACTTTGCATCCATTAACATTTGCCCAGATAACCGGTGAGAGCCTTTTCAACACTGGGGCAAAAATTGGGTCTGAGTTCCTTACCCAGTTATTCCCACGCAGTCACCCTGTCCCTTATGGTCATGGGCACCATATCTCCTGCTTGCTGACAAATGCTCTCAAATCTCTCTCACCCAGTGGAGTCAGCTTGGCCCAAGGTTCATGAATGTTATACAGTCACTGTGGATTGTGCACATAGTACCTTGTCCTTTAATCCTTTCTTAGCTTAAATTCTTTTTTTTTTTTTTTATTTTTATTTTTTTTCTTTCCTAAAGCAAAGCAGCAAGTATCTTAGCTTAAATTCTAACTGTTCGATAATAAAAGTCACTACCTAGGCTTTCTCGTGGTTTGGGCTTTCCAAGTACATACCTGCCTGTTTTCTCCAATGCTGTCTGAGCTGCGTGACTAGAGAAATGGGCTCTTTCCCTTGGTTTCATGGGTTTGTTTCAATGGCTTTCCTGCTGTATCTTCTTCTGCTAGAAAGAAAAAATTGTAGCCCAGATGCTTTCTGACAGAGAAGTGTCGGTCTCCACCAGTTTCATTTTTTAAAAAGAATATTTTTCTGATTATAGAATTTAATATATCCTTGGTATAGAATTTTTTAAGGAAAATGCGGGCAATAATAAAGAAATCCAAGCTTCTAATAATTCTTCATTCAATGAAACCGCCATAAATGGCTTTTGTATTTCTACCTAGTCTTTTTCCAGGACTCCACCATGTGAATTTGCTCCTGCTCACCCTGGGCCCTGAGGAACGGAATAACTACTCATACGAAGTAGACGGAATAACGCCATCCACCAAATAGTAAACCCTTTTCAATCCTAACAGTCTCTGCATAGACACAGGCTTCGAAAAACGCGGAGCATGCGGAAAGGATCGAATTTCAGCACGAGTAGAAGCTTGCCTCCTTAGTTTGATAATATATAGACCGGACCACAGCACATCAATTCTACCCAGAAAGCCCAAGTATTTGCCAAATCGATTAATATTGAAGCACCTTAAATGTATATAAATAAACTATGTTGAAGGCACGGTGTTCGAGTAAATAGGAAAATCACCACTCCAGTAGAATCTCTGAGAAGACGAGAAGTCATAAATTAACAAACAATAGCCACTTAGACCACACTGTAACCAGGAAATTTCAAATGTTTTTCAACATTTACAATTCCTATTAAAATTCTCTATGTACAATCAGAAGATCAAATCAAACCGATTTCTAAAAGTCACCCACTTGAAAGTCACAATGTTATAAGTAAGTATCCATTGGTCAATCATTGGTACTGTATAAATCTCTTAGAGAAAACTTATGCACTCAACAGTGGTATCAGTCCAGCACTAACAGTGACCTTCACAACACAGCAAAGGCCAAAGCATTACAACTGCTCCACGGATGAGGCACTATATGCGAACAGAACACATACACAGTCTCCACACTTTATAATAGAACAAGACATACCATTTAATTCATTAACACCAGTTACTCAGAGAAAAGTGCCCATTCCTGCCCATTGGAGTACTGCACCTGTAGTGTCACATGTCTCACATCTGCAGGGCTAAGTTCCTGTAGCTCGGTTCAATTGAAACCGCCACTCCTCCAAGAATTTCATGCGTGGATGTTGACTGGTTAGAGACTCATTGTCCCATAGAGCAGTCAAGAGTGCCGTCACGCGACAAGGAAGCGAGCAGCGAACTGGGGAGTCGGATCCCTGCGCAGATGAGTGCAACCTGGCCAGACGACAGTTGCATAAACGGTCTCAGCCCCACATATACCGGACCCTTAGAGCTGGAATGAAGGGTACTAGCTGAGGCTCACTATAATCGCCTAGCCACTGTAGTTTCTCATATATATGCTCAGATAAAAATATGGATCCAAATAGGAAGTACCACACAAGGCCATGTGACAAGCCACAACAGGAGTAAATGAACTTACATATGCAATAATGCATAGACAACCTAAGAAATATCATGAGTAGATTAATAAGCTAAAAGTTCAAGAATTGGGGTGGGAATAAAAAAGATGTATAGTCCACCAAACATCGGCTGAGTGTGCTGCTGGGAAAGAAAGTCTCGTTGTGTTCAAGTGCAAAGATCATCCCAACTTGAAGAGTACAAGGCAAGGTTGGTCCGCCATCTCCGTCTCCTTAACGAAAATCTCGGCCGAAAAGTGAAATAGACCACATATTGAGGTTGCCTTTTGGATCCATGCTTATACCGAAACACTCGTCCAATACAGATCCAAACTGCGCTGTACAGCATCTAAACCCGGCACCTTCTATAGGACACTATAGATAATGAGGGGGCCCCGGCCACGATGATCACCTTTCCCACCTCCTGCAGTTCACCACACGTGCAGGCGAAAGAGAACCCTACAACGCGTGATCTTCCTGAAGGACAGTCCATCAGGAAACTGCTACTCGAGGCTTTTCTGTGAGAGAGTGAAATCCCTTCAATCAACACAGGCCGCGGCCCGCCTAGTCGATCCATTTTTGAAGGAAATCTGAATAATTCTATGTGTGAGGAGCGAGACAAAGACGCAGAAGGATAGGCTGGTCGAAAACTGTAACCACCGAGTAGGTCCTCTTATCAGTGATCGATGAAAAAGGATGCTCTCTGCTGAAGATAGCGTATAGGAGAGTAACACCACCTTTGCCACATACATGCCATACACCGCACTGGTCTCAAACATCAACAGAACTGCTACTATTCTAACGAAAACAAAATTCAATTCGAACTTTTCCATGCTGTACAAAGCTAGACGATACTACCAATCAACTTATCACAATTAATCAGTTAGACCTCTCTCACACCTCTACAAAAGGCCACATATTCAGTCAGATCAAAGTCACAGCTCACGCCTTGAGATTGAAAGCCAATCAATTAATTCCACACACTTGCCAAGA